ATGAAATTGAGGTTCTCCCTTCTTTTGTGTGACTGATCCTTGAATTGGATGATTCAAGGGGTTCGTTGGCCTGAGTGTGTAGATCTTCATAATCTGTAATCCAATCAGTTGGTAATAATTGGATTAGTTCTTGCTTTGAGATCTGTCTGGGAACATGAGAGCAAGATGCTCCATTTTTCTCATCTACTCTTATTAAAAGAGCATTTTCTCCCCCTGGTATAGCAAGATCTAAAGCATGATTCTGTACACGATAAACCATCTGGTAGTGAAGGGTTGCAGCTATAGAGTCTGATACTTGTTCAGCACCAATAATTTGTACCTGCACTTTGAGAGCTTCAAGCAGATGTGGATCTGCTAGTGACATATTAAAGTTAGGAAAGAGAGTAATAAAAATAGTTCCAGCATTGAGTGTAGTTTCAGTTGTTGCAATACACGCATGCTGATATTGTTTAAATCTGGTGTCCAATAGTGCAATTCGAGCAACTATTGGAAGTCTTTTCCTTCCATGAAATGATAGGGAAATCCTGATGGCTCCAAAGTGTATATGGGTATAACCTTGCTGTTTCCATTGCATAGGGAAATCATTAGGAATGTGCAAGGTTATGAATTGTTCCTTTCTTGTGGCAGGTATAGGATGCTGATCAACCTTTGATGCCTGAATATATTCTTTAACTCCTTTTGGATGAGCTCGTATCAAAGATTTAATAACACGAGTAGGAGAAAAAGATTGTTTACCATAAGCACTATAAGGATTGATAGTAGGAATAGAGGTAGGATTAACCACCTCTGGTTCAATAGAAACTTCATACAAATAGTCTAACTTATTACTATGTACTGTTTTTATTTGTAAACCACTATCAGTAGTAACAACAGAAGATTTAGAAGAAGAAGCCATAGTTTACTGAAAACTAATACTCAAATCACTATTAACAACTACTTTCTTTTTTAATTTTTCAAGTTTTTGGCGTTCCTCTAGATCACGTTCTTCAGCACAAATAACACAAATACGATGATATAAAAGATCTATACGTACTTGACTACTTACAATACTATAAGCCCAAGGATGAAGAAAAGTAAGATAATCCTGAATTGAAGACTGCAAATGAGATATTCTATCTAAACACTGTTGTTTAGTATAATTACTATAAAAATCAAACAAAGGGATACCACTATTGGTAACTATAACATTACGGACATGTTCATACCAAGCATGATAGTTACCATAATGATTCTGTACCCATTCCATGTGTGTTGCATGTTCATCGATAATCTGCATAAAAGATGTATTGGAAAACTGAGAGTAACGCTTCACTAGGGTTGGCTCTGATACCAAATTCAGTCCTGTTCAAGTGCAGTAATTTATAAAGAAATGAATCATACCATTTTAGACCTAGATGATGAGTATGAGGAGGCACAGAGATATCTTTTCCAAGAAAATAGATGTATTCCACCTGAAATTTGGCCTGGTCATTATGGCTCATGGAACTATCATACTAGTCATCCTCACTGGACCAGAATCAAACGAGCAAAAAAGGAATACCAGAACAAAATGAATGACACTATGATGCAAGACTCCCAAGACCCAAATGAGGACATAGGAACATCACAAAAATCTACAGCAACCTCATCAGTATCCCACTACAGTTTCAAAAACCGATCAGAATGGAAAAGCATAGAAAATAAAAGAAAGAATAGACCAGCACATCAATATCACAATGAAATGCTCAACATTACTGATCCAGATACTACACCCTCAGATACACCCGATGAAGACTATCAGTGGGCCTGGAATGACATTGATATGCAAGGGTCTCCTTAGACAAGTTGTCTTTACTTTCCGAAGAGTCGTGACCTTTATCTGTTTGAAAGGTCAAGTTGTCTTTACTTTCCGAAGAGTCGTGACCTTTATCTGTTTGAAAGGTCAAGTTAAGTCTGTATAAATGAACGATGAATCTTGTGTTTAAACATAATCGAAGAAAGAAATAAAATCCTGAGTGTTTCATATCCACATGACAGGCTAAGTTTTTAAAACTTCACTAGGGAAGGCCGAGAGATCCTTATAGCTGCGTGTTACTTAGTTTTCTTCATAACTTTTTTTAATTTACTCGTTTGATAAAAGTCCCTTGAACTTTGAAAGCCCAAGGAAAGTGGCTGTTGTGTTCGGGAATACCTTCAAAGAGCAAATTATCACTGAATTATGAGGAGATTGAGCAGGCACTCTGGTTCTTTACAAAATGTCCAGGTTTTCCACAAATAAAGCATTTGGTTCCTTTCTTTCCTCTGAACTGTTTGTATCTTCTCTTGAAAAATCTCCACCTCTTTCTGAAAGGTCTTTTGGAATACTGCTTGCAACCTTTGTTGAATGTCTTCAACTTCTTGAACTTTCTTTTCCTTTTAAGAGGTCCACAAGCCTTGCATTTTCCTTTGATAATAAGCTCAGGCTTTTTGCAAGCTTGATCAAGACAAACATCTCCTTTGAGATATTCTCGGATAACCTTTCTGTTGTGGCATAAATCATCAAGAGCTAGTAAGACTGCCTGTCTCATCTGTCCAGTGGTAAGATTAAGGATGGATCCATATTTATTATGGATATATATCCCGACACCTTCTGCGAGTGATTTCGGTAGTGAGCTTATAAATGCTTATTTCAGATTTATATCTGCACCAAGAGTATAGAAAAGTTTAGTCATCCATTTGAAATGCTTATTTATATCTTTACGATCATAAGATAAACATTTCATTTGGAAAAACTCCTTTCTCTTGGTTTCTCGGCTTTCTTTGACATCTCCTATAAACATCAGATGAAGAAGGTTTATATTTTCTGAAAAATCCTGTTTTGTCAAGAAAGTCATTTTGTCAGCATCTCCAAGGCTAGTCCACCAATCTTTTAGAATTCCTGAAAAATGAGCAGTGAAAATTGATAAGATTTCAAAGTGAGATTCCTCATGAAGATTTTGAGCAGTCATCCAAGCATGAAATTCTTGGAATTTTGCTTCTCATTTTCCAGCAGGAATATCATCTATTGAAAATAACTGTACTCCTTTTGCTTTCGGAAAATCTTGTCTTGGAGGCCTGGTCGTTGAGGTTTCTTGTTTTTCTTCGGATTCAGGTTCTTCAACAACCTCAGAATTTATAAGGATAAGAGGAATTTCTTCCTTATCTTCTTCTGAAAATTCAATTGAATCTGGGGATTCATATTCAGATTCAGATGGTTTAGAAGCATTTTAAGAATTTTTCTCATCAGTGTCTGATCCTGAAGATTCTTCTGAATTACTATCAGCTTTGGAGGTAGTAAGGCAAGGGACTGAATTTTGATGAAGATCCTCTAACATAGAAGATAAAGGATTTTCATAAACTTTGGTTGCTTCTTTTGCCTTTTGTTCCTGTTGGACAGAGAAAATCGGATTAGATTGTACTGTATACATTAGAGAGGTTTCAGGTTGTACAATTTTTCCTTTCGCTTTCTTTCTTCTTCTTGTCTCTTTTGCTCAGCTTCAAGTCTTTGTTTTGCTTTAGCTTCCTTTTCTTGGGATTTTTTGTTCCTTCGATATTCACGCAGAACCTCAGCAATATCAAAGGGTTTCTTTGAAGCTGGTTGTGGCTGATCTGGAAAGAAAACTGAAGGATTAGGAGTGGTAACATTTCCAAAGTAAAATGGCATAGGCCAATTTCTTAAAGGAATTGCACCAAATCCTGAACTTACCTATGGAGGAGGTTCAAATGGACCAATATCATATTTCGGGACTTCACCTGTTTCCTTTAAAGTAGCAATTTGCCTCTGGAGAAATTTTGTTTCTTTTTCTTGATTCAGAACAAAATTTGCTAAAAAAGATGAATTTGCAGGTGAATCATTTAATACTAGCAAGTCTTTGTTCAAGAACCCTAATCATTTTAGATACTTCTTCCTTTTGAGATTTTACTGAAGTATCAAGATGATCAACTAAAGTATTAATATGATTTACCTTTTGAGATACCTCTGAGACATTATGATGAATAGAGGTAAGAGCTGATGGGAATTCGTTCTATACAAATTTCATTACAAAAAATCCCATTACTCTCCTTCCAAACTGTGTTATTACTACCCAATTCCTTGCAGCCAATCTTGATTCTGAAAAAGATCTTTTACTTGGTTTTGATGTTTATAGAGAAAATAAATTTTATATCACAGCCAGAGGGATACGATCAAAAAAGTTTTTTAAACCTTTTATTGAGATCCCTAATCTTTATCTCATAGAGGATGAAACCTCTATTTCATTAGAAGAAAGGCTCAAAAAGTTTCAACAGAAAATCATAAAGGAGTCTTGTGCTTCTAATCATCAGGAGTTTTTACAAAAATGTGATCATCCATTGTGGGAAAATTCTCATTTTTTATCCATCTTCCATTCAAAAAGAATGAAGACATAAACTCCACAAAAGCAAGTCATTCTGGAATGAATCTTGAAGATACTAAACTTGCTGATCAAGAATGCCAAGAACTCTTGAAGTATTTTGATCGAAGTTTCTGATTCTCAGTGGGCATGTCAAGCTTTTTATGTCAATAAGAGATCGGAACAGGTAAGAGGGAAAATGAGGTTGGTAATTAATTACCAGCCCCTTAACATTTTCCTACTTGATGATAAATTTCCTATTCCAAACAGATTTACACTTTTCTCTCAAATTGTGAAAGCAAAATGGTTTTCAAAATTTGATCGCAATTAGGAATTTATCCTGAGGATAGGCACAAAACTGGATTTTGTATCCCAAATCATCATTATCAATGGAAGGTGATGCCTTTTGGTCTCAAAACGACACCATCACTTTTTCAAAAAGCCATGATAAAGATTTTTCAGCCTATCTTGCATACAGCACTCATCTATATAGATGACATTCTTCTTTTCAGCCACTCTTTAGATGAACATATAAGATTGCTTCACCAATTTCATGATCTTGTTAAGCAATATGGTATAATGATTTCTGAAAAGAAAATGATTTTGGCAACAATAGAAATTTCATTTTTGGGAATGAAGATTTCTAATGGAGCTTGTACACCTGAGCAACATGTTGGACAATCTGTCAAAGATTTTCCAGAAGAAAATTTGACAAAACAGCAGGTACAACAATTTCTTGGTGTTGTCAATTATGTGAGGGAATTTATTCCCAGAGCTTCAAAGCATATTAGTCCCCTAACTAAAATGCTAAAAAAGGATCCTCCTCCTTGGGGATCATCTCAGACAACTGCAGTCCAAAAGCTGAAGGAAACTCTTTTGAGTCTTCCTACCTTGTTCAATCCATCCACAGGGGAAAGATTTTACAAACAGATGCTAGTGACAAATACTGGGGAGCCATTCTACTTGAAGAAGATCTTGTTGGAAAAAGGCATTGTTGTGGATTTGCCAGTGGAAAATTCAAGGCTTTTGAGCAACATTATCATTCCACTTTCAAGGAGATACTTGCAGTAAGAAATGGAATAAAGAAAATTTCTTTCTTCCTCATTTCTCAACATTTTTTGATTAAAATGGATATGGGGTCATTCCCTAAAATGCTGCATTTTAAGCAAAAGACCATCCCACACCCACAACTCCTTCGTTGGGCAGCATGGTTTTCCCAATATTCCTTTGATGTTAAACACATTAAAGGGAAAACTAATATTGTTGCTGATTTCTTTTCAAGGAAAGAACCTTTGCCTCAACAAGTCTTACCACCAAAAGCCTTAACCTGTTTTATGTTTACTCCAGTTCAAGATCATCCTCCGGACATCTATGAAGTACCATACCCATGGGAAAAAGAAAACATTGAAAGAATTAGAAACCACTATGAACTTGAACTCTTCCGTTCATATGGTGGGTCAATACTTAGTCCTTTTGGTACTAATCCTGAGTATCCCTTCTGTCAAATATTTATTGCCAGTCCTACTGAATTTCCAAAAGAATTATTATGGTATTTCTGGTGTTTGTGCCACCAATATCATATTTTAATGGAATTTCAGAGTCCCTTTTTTAATAGACCATTGGTTCAAAACCTTCAAAAATTCCTTCAATGGTTTAAACCTTTGTCTTTTTGGAAAGATCTATTTAATACAAATCCCAATCATATTCTCATCCATTTTCATCGTCCCTGTCACCTCATCAATAACCAGATCCAAGCCTTATCCAATGCAGTTATTTACAGGGAATTATCTCATACTATTTTAGATCAAGAAGTTGAATATGGAGAAGCTCAGAGATATATATATTCCAAGAAAACAGATGCATTCCTCCTGAGATTTGGCCAGGGCCTTATGGATCATGGAATTACCAAAACACTCATCCTTATTGGACCCAGATTCGCAAGGCCAAAAAGGAGTGAATTGATAAAATGAATTCATCAGAATTCCAAGATTCTCAGATGCCTGATAATTTCACACAACAGCCAGAATCCTCTCACACAAAAAGATCGATTCCCCAATATCGACCAGAATGGAAAAGCATTGAAAACAAAAGGAAAAATAAAAGAGCCATGATGATTGGATTGAACAAATGAATATCACTGATCCAGATTCTACTCCTTCTGACACCCCTGATGAAGATTGGACCATTTGAAGACATAAGGACCTCCTAGGACCCATATGTTTCTCATATGGCCAACATGTTTGAAAGGCCAAATAACTATTTAAATTTGAAAGGTTACTTTAAAAGTTGTCCTTTGTAAGTTTGAAGAGTCAAGTTGTCCTTTGTAAGTTTGAAGAGTCAAGATATCCTTTGGGATATCGAAGAGTCACTTTGTAATCTATAAATAGATGAACCTTGTCATCTGAAAGGATCATCTAGTGATACGTTCCTCGATCAACACGTTTCGAGACACGTAGCACGTTTGCCCAAGGATCTAGCTAGGATGTCCAACGCTTGGAATTGCGGGATCTAGAACCAAACGGACGACACGATTGGATTCAAGACGGTAGTACAACGACTCCAATGAAGGTGACTACTCCACGGAATAGGTCGGTAGAACAATCTAGAACGGGACGCAAAATTGCTCAAAACCCTTGCCAAAGCAAGTAAAGTGCTCGACCTCTCTTCTTAGAAGAAGGAACGAATTAAACCAATTTTATTGATAAAACGACTACCCTTTATGCTACAAAGCAAGCCTTTATATAGGCAAAACTAATGAAACCCTAATATCCGAAACCCTAATATCGCAAAGCTAGATGGTCGGCCACTCCTTGGACAAGGTGGGCCGACCCATGGACTAAATTAACAAAAAGGCCTAGTGGTTCGGCCATCCTTAGACAAAGGTGGGCCGAATCCATGGCTAACAAAAGGACTAATCTAAACTTAAGACTCTTAACACTAAGGCCTAATCGGCCATGGCCCACTTGGCTCTTCGCGGGCTCTCTTCACGGGCTTGGATCATCGTGTAGCCAACTGGGTTGTCACCTTCCAAGCCTTCAATGTCTTGAATTGCCTAGCCCGTGCATGTGTGACTGGGCCCAATTACGTGGGCCCTGATCCATGCACACATCATCTAGAATTTGATTCAATAAAATCTAAGAGTGTTTTATATACATGACAGGCTAAAAGATTTAGTTTTCTCCCAAGGGAAGGCCGAGATCCTTATAGCTGTGTGTTGCTTAGATTATCATAGCTTTGTTATAATTTACTCTTGTGATAAAAGTCCCTTGAACTTTGAAGGCCCAATGGAGAGAGGCTGTTGTATGTTCGGGAATACTTTCAAAGAGTACATTACAACTTTGATATGGGATTCTAAGCATGCCACTCTGGTATTTGGTATCAGAGCCATACCCTTGGGAGGAACAGTAACATTACTGATGTGTGCATGGATCAGGGCCCACGCAATGACCCAGTCCGAGTCCCATTGGGCCCAGTCACACGTGCACGGGCTAAGCTCTTCAAAGAATCCCTCCAAACCCTTGTTCGAGTTGTCCAAGACCAACATGGAGCCCATAGAGATATTGAAGGCTTAGAAAGAGACAATCAAGTAACTTACACCTTGATCCAAGCCCATGAAGAATCAAGTGGGCCTCTTTGTGAGTCGGCCGAGTAGGGCCTTAGTCTTTGTTACTCATTTAGTTGGACTAGTTGCTTAGTAGAAGGCATGGGGCGGCCCATCTTGGAGTCAAGATGGCCGACTTCCCTCTTAGGGTTTCTTTAGGGTTTTTCTTGTTACCTTTAGCCTATAATAGGCTAGCTTTGTAAGGTTAAAGACAGAAGTTTGATGAATAAAATTCTTAGTAACTTCGTTTTCTTCCTAAGAGAGAATTCGAGTCCTTAACTTGCTTTGGCAAGGGTTCTTGAGCAATCTTGCGTCCCGTCCTTGATTGTTCAGTCGACCTATTCCCCTGGAGTATCCACCTTCATCGAAGTGTCGTTCTACCGCTTTAAATCTAAACGTGCCGTCCGTGCTGATTTAAAGTCCCGCAATCCAAACGTAGGACAACCTCGATAGATCCTTGGGCAAACGTGCTACGTGTCTCGAAACGAGTTGATCGAGGAACGTATCAGTTGTTTCCTAAAATGGATGAGAGAATATAGGAGAGTTTCCTAGAATGGATGAGAGAATATATGAGAGTTTCCTAGAATGGATGAGAGAATATAGGAAAGTTTCCTAAAATGGATGAGAGAATATAGGAGAGTTTCTTAGGATGGATGAGAGAATATAGGAGAGTTTCCTAGAATGGATGAGAGAATATAGGAAAGGGTCCAAGCGAGAACAAGAGTTACCCAAGTGATCTACTTTAGTTTCCTAACTGAGTTTGGAAAACAAGTAAGTGTTGGGAACTTCCTTAGAACACCCTTTTCCTTTATTGAACAACCTTTGGAACTTCGCAAATCCCAATCCTAGTTGGATTCCTCTTGCAAATTTTGGTCCTCCCCCTCAAAACCCTCAACCTTTGGAACTGTGTTTGTTACTCTTTTTCCAAATTTTAATATGTCTTTGGTAGATCCTCTTTGTCTGTTTGAAAGGTCAAGATGATTTTACTTTTCTGAAGAGTCGTGACCTTTGTCTGTTTGAAAGGTCAAGTTGATTTTATTTTTCTGAAGAGTAGTGACCTTGATGGGTTTGAAAGGTCGAGTTATGTTTGTATAAATAGAGGATGCATCATCAGTTGAAGGGCATCGAGAACAAGAAATAAAATCCTGAGTGTTTCATATTCATATGGCGGGCTAAGGTTTTAAATTTCATTAGGGAAGGCCGAGAGATCCTTATAGCTGCGTGTTACTTAGTCTCTTTCATAACTTTGTTTTAATTTACTCGTTTGATAAAAGTCCCTTGAACTTTGAAAGCCCAAGGAGAGTGGCTATTGTGTTCGGGAATATCTTCAAAGAGCAATATTGTTGCTGATTTCTTTTCTAGAAAAGAACCCTTGCCTCAACAAGCTGTTTCCCCATGTCTAATGTTTTCACCTATTTCCAGTGAACCTCCAGATATTCATGAAATTCCTTATCCATGGGAAAAAGAAAATATTGAAAGAATCAGAAATCAATATGAACTTGAAATCTTTAGTTCATATGGTGGATCAATACTCCCTTTGGAACAAATCCTGAATACCCTTTCTGTCAAATTTTTATTGCCAGACATGACGATTTTCCAAAACCACTGTTATGGTATTTTTGGTGTCTTTGTCATCAGTACCATATTCTTATGGAATTTCAGTCACCATTCTTTAATCAACCACTTAATCCAAACCTTCAAGTCTTTCTGCAATGGTTTCGACCATTAACATTTTGGTCTGGATTATTCTCAACCCAGTCTAAATATGTTATTTTTCATTTCCATAGACCTTGCCACTTGATAAACAACCAAATTCAGTCCTGTTCAAGTGCAGTAATTTATAAAGAAATGAATCATACTATTTTAGACCTAGATGATGAGTATGAGGAAGCACAGAGATATCTTTTCCAGGAAAACAGATGTATTCCACCTGAAATTTGGCCTGGTCATTATGGCTCATGGAACTATCATTCTAGTCACCCTCACTGGACTAGAATCAAACGAGCAAAAAAGGAATACCAGGACAACATGAATGACACTGTAATGCAAGATTCCCAAGACCCAAATGATGATGTCGGAACATCCCAACAATCTACAACAACTTCATCAATTTCCCATTACAATTTCAAGAATAGATCAGAATGGAAAAGCATAGAAAATAGAAGGAAGAATAGACCAGCACATCAATATCATAATGAGATGCTTAACATTACTGATCCAGATACTACCCCTCAGATACACCCGATGAAGACTATCAGTGGGCTTGGAATGACATTGATATGCAAGGGTCCCCTTAGACAAGTTGATTTTACTTTTCTGAAGAGTCGTGACCTTTGTCTGTTTGAAAGGTCAAGATGATTTTACTTTTCTGAAGAGTCGTGACCTTTGTCTGTTTGAAAGGTCAAGTTGATTTTATTTTTCTGAAGAGTAGTGACCTTGATGGGTTTGAAAGGTCGAGTTATGTTTGTAT